AAAAAAAAAAAAAAAAAAAAAAAATTAACCGATTAATCAAATCGAATCGAATCGTGGTGTATTCTAGAGTATCGAAAATAATCGAATCGTTGGATCAGGAAATCGATGCTGAATCGAATCGCCATGATGGATGTGATTTACACCCCTATTTGTGAGTTTGGTTTTGTTTTTCACAGTGAGAAGATTAAAGAAACAAGTAGAACAGGATGGGCTGAAGAATTGATCTATACAGAAGTAATAACAGATGTGGTGAAACAGAGTCCTTTGAGTTTCCGGATTATGGAAAGTCGTTGTTGGCTTCTTTTATGAATGTCTGTGATGTAATACATGTGGATTGTCTGTTAAATTATCCCAGCTGTGAACGTAACGCCTCGCTCCATTCATCTTGTTCCATGTTTCCTATTCAATTATTAACTTATTTTATCAGACTTAAATGTTATTTTAAAAATTTTATAATCCAACATTTTTAATTGACATTGTGAGCGCATCGGAGCGAACTGGAGTGGAGCGAAACCTTCGCTCCGGCCTTTGAATTGAAAACCGCTCTGCGCTCCGCCATATTTCTTCCTCTCCGCTCTGCTCACATGCTCTGATATGCAATTGGAATAAAACAATGCAATTGTTTTCTTATTTTAAATGTAAATTGTCTTGCTTCATTGACAAAATGTCTCACTTATTCCTCAATTTAAGAAAAATGACTTATTTGCATTTTTTGTAGAGATCTGCTGGGTAAATGGAGCTTCCTGTTTCCATGCTGCTCCACGTGTCACAGATGTGCCTTTAGAACATGTCTTGCTGGAGTTGATGTTACACTGTTGTCTGATGATTTTTGGTAGACTGTTTTTTAAATTGTGGTAAATTAAAAGCAGCCATGATGTCTCCTTCATTCCACATGTTTACCTCCTCCTCAATAAAACAGTTTCTCTGTCATAGGGTTCATTTTTGCAGCCTCCAGGGGATCATGTGCAGCAATTTCAGCAGAAGGAGAAAGGAAATTTATCAAAACCATTGTTGGAGAAACATTCTTATGGTTCCTTGGTGCAAAAACATCTAAATGAATGTTTTAACAACTGGTAAAAACTAATCAAACCAACTATCCAATTTGGTGGTCTCACAATAATGGGCTCTCTGCACAACCTCACTACTTCCTGAACTTATGGCGGCTGCTGTTACTAGATGAACTGATTAATCCAGGTGTCTCTGGTCATTGTTTTCATGGTTACTGAGGTTACACATACCGGGATTTATCATTTTATCCAGTAGGGAAAGACGGGAAACAAAGGAGCTGCCTTAAGTGTAGGAAGCATTGAAGCATAGAGTCCGTTGCCCTGATAGGACCACGTCTAATATTTGATTGTTCAAACATATATCATTAAGTGCCTTGAGATTGGGGCTATATAAGTAAACTAAACTGAATTGAATGATTCAGTTTTATCTTAGTTTATTAATGTGGCACCAAGTCACAACATATCAAGGTACTATAAGACCTGTAATTCCAATTTTGCATACAGAAATGGTATAAAAACATTAAATGTAAACTACATGTTTATTTCTCAAGGTTCACAATCCAATAGATTCTAAATTGGTTAAATAAAACTTTACATCTCTCCTTCCATCCAATCATACTAGGTGTCTTTTATTAAATGCATACAATATGTATTAAATCATACATCTAAATGGTGGTTTTGGTATACGCATCTCACAGCATCAGATCCCAGCAATCATTGTTTTATTTTCTGTAATTGACATTTGGTGGCCGAGTGGTTCAGGCATTGCACTTTGAATCCTGAGGTTCTGAGTTAAAGCCCCACTCCCCTTAACCCCACACTGCTCCCCAGGCGCCACACTATGGCAGCCTACTGCTCCCCAAGGGGATGGGTTAAATGCAGAGAGCTCTGTACTTGCTGGGGGAAAAAAACAGGTTGTGATGAAGACATAAATCACCATCTCAAACTGATTGAATATGACATACAGGTGCTGGTCATAAAATTAGAATATCATGAAAAAGTAGATTGATTTCAGTAATTCCATTTAAA